ATAAGAAGTAGAAAAATATGCAAATATTACCTTAGAAGCCAAACCAAGTGTTTCTTCTTTAAGAGAAAAACTAGTAAGAAAAACAACAACTATTTAGAAGTATAAGTGATACACACACATTTTTTCCTTTATAACCTAAGTTTGGGAGGCCTCAGAGGTGATCTTTCACAACCTTTGATACAAAAAAGCAAGGTGTTAATTGCACATGTGGGGAACTTCTGAACACAGGGTCAGCTTGGGGAGGAAAAACAAAAACAGAAACACAGCAAGACATTTTACACCTTAGGATAATTTTAACTGGGGGGCGGGGGTAGTTACTTTAGCAATGTAACTTTGCAACGGCTGCTGATACAAAGTAACAATGAAATTGCAAGTATTTCCAAGTAAAATTTTGCAAACATTTCCTTCAGGGATCTAATGAGAATTAGATTTTAAAAACTTGGTGTAAAAAAAAAACCCACAAAACCCTAGATTTTAAAAATTTAGTTTTTAAAAAGGAAAGATCAGAGTTAATTATGCCCTCCCGACCACTGCTATAACATTCAGCATGGTATATCATGAATACAAAGTTGTCCGTATAAAAATTTTACCTTTAAAATTAATAATGCAAGAAACAACCAGAGGACTACAGAACAAGGGCCATGCTTCAGGCAGGTGTTGAGTCTGGGAAATAATTTTGCTGTTTGAGGGTCGTACAAATCATCTTTACAAGGAGACAAACTAATACAACTTTAAGAAAGAGAAGGTTAGCAGCTTGAATTAGAGTTTCCCTGAGACAATCATTTCCCTCCACATCTGCTGTTTGGACCTGGCCTTTACGACATTTTATTCCTTTCTCTCTCTTTTCCCCTCCCATTAGCTGAGAGAAATGATCATTCCCCCAAGGTATGTCCTCTTGCAATGTGTTAGGCTGGCTTATAATAATGAGTCCTGGCGTAGACGGAACAGCAATAGCCCGTTTGCCTATTACAACGCAAAGTTTGAGAAGGCCCCAAACTAGACCCCGGTGCGAAGCAGGTCTGTTTTCTGTTTAAACACACCCATTTTGGATAAAACAGACACGTGTCCATGTAGACAGATGCGGCCACTCTGGAATCTTGGAATTTCCAGAATTAGGAAAAAAGGCTTCAAGGAATGACAAGATAAGAGGAAATTAAGTACTCAGGTGGAAACCAACTTGAAAAGAAGAAAAATTTCCAGATGCCCCTTCTACACAGAACTCAGTTATCTTTAACAACTCTCAGGTAAATCATGAAAAATAAAATATCTAAAAAAATAAATAAAATAAAAATCTGTATTAGAATATGCTAATTAAAAAAATTTATTTACTCCCTAAATCTTGATCTTAGATACCAAAGAGATGGGTGGTTCAGCACTGAGATTTCACCTTAGCTAGGGTATTTCCAGTTTTTTTTTCTTTTAAACAAGGCTGTTTCTGACAAAAGTAACTCACTCTAAATGACATCTGTAGAGGTACAAATTCTGGAGAAAGCACACTCCTTCTGCAAGTAATTCACCTTGTGGGACCTCCAGGGCGACTCTTCCAATGGCCACTGTCAAACTGACTTCTAAAGCCATATACAAAAAGTAAAAGACACTTCGGCCCCTCACCTGTATGCTGTGGTTGAATTTTACCGATAAAGTTAACTTCCAAAATGTTCATATTTACCCCGTAGGCATTCAGAAATGGTAAGTGTATGCTTAGAGGACAATTATGATTTGTTCTGCAGGGAAACCTATAGGCTTATCTCATCCAATGGGTTGGATCATCCTTCCTTCCAAGCTGGTGATTCTGAGGAACAGAAGGTGGGTCTGGGCCTGGAATGCAGGTCTACCTGCTGCATGGGAGATATTAAAAAAAAAAATAAAGAGAACCCCTGCGCAAACCCTTTGCTTCCATGGTGATCGCTCCATGTTGGTTAATATTGTTAATATGATTTATAACCAGAGCAAGCAAATCAGTATTTCGCGTCCTAGATGGTAGTGGGCAAATAACCACTTCAAACCGACCACTTTCTCTCTGACTGGAGGAGGAGCGTGTTGCTGAATCCTTGCTATTCTGAAGGGAATGCAACCCAGGGGTAGAGATGGTATTCCAAATTAAATTACGCAGCTGTCTGAATATAATCACGAGTTCCCAAAGTATGAAGCAGTCCCTGTGCTAGTGAAGGTGTCACCACCTCTTCTCGGCGTTTAACTGTATCAGGAGCATGTTCAACTAACAGCTGAAATCGTAATACACTTTCTTGATGAAATTAGCAATTTATTAGGTGAGAAATCAATGATGACTCACATCTTCCTCTTTCAGGTATGCCCCAAAGGATAAAGTTATTTATCAAAATCCATTGTAGCAAAAGTGGTGACTCTCTTTTCCCACCTATTTAAAACAAAAATCAAATCCTGGACAATTTATAATGCTTAAAGTAATGCTCCTTCACACGAGGCACACAAATTTTATGACATAAACAACTTCAATGAAGTTTTAATGATATATATCAGCGGATTTGGGAAGCGACATTTGAGAAGCCAGTATGTTTGCTACCGAACAAAAAAACCTCTTAACCCAGAAGCACACATTTGCAAACTAAGAATCCAAGAAATCTTATTAAACGATTCCATGAAATCTAGTAGCAAATTCAAACAAGAGCCAAAGAATGAAAGGACACCGAAAGGATGAGAAAGATGATCTGGTGAAGGCTCTTTTTCAGTCCACTTACTGTCCGGCCAAACTCTTGGCCGCTGTGATGAGAAAACATTTTCCAAGAAACCGCTGCTGGGGCTGCTCTGCGCAGAGCTGCAGCAACACACGTTTCCCGGGGACAGACAGACAGACGCGCACACGTGACAGGGATCCCCGGGATCCCCGCGGGGCCGCCGCAGGCCCCCGAGTGTTACCGGGGGAGGCGGGGGAGCGGGGCCGCGAACGTGGGGCCGCCGCGGTCCGAGCGCAGCGTGCGGCGCGTCTCTCCGCCGCGGGGTCGCCGGCTCCACCGCCACGCTCGGGCCGCGAAGAGACGCCCCAACCGGGAAGGACGCGGGTCTTCCCCGCATTCGGGAAAGTGCGGCTCCGAGCCACGCACCGATCAGCACCAGGCCGCCCCGCGCCCGCCTCTCACGGCCCGTCGCAGCGGAGCCGGCGGGCTCGGCGCGGGGCTCACGCGGCGGCCTCCCCGCCCGGCGCTGCCCCTCCTCCCGCGGGCACCCGGAGACCCGACAGCCTTGTCCCGGCGCGCGGGAAGGCCCGCCCCGCAGCCTCCGGGGTCTCCACGGCCCTCGGGCGCCCGAGACGTGTCCCCGGCGGCCAGGGCCCGTCGCTGCGCTCGGCCGTCCCGGCAGTGCCCCCGGACGCCGCGCGGTGCTGTCAGGGCCGCGGAACAGACGGAGGTAAAGGCGGCGCGGGCGGGCAGCTGCGTGGGGGACGCCGCGCCCGGAGGCCTCCGCCCAGGCGCGCCCGCCGGCCCTGCGCCCGAAGGCGCCCCCTCAGACCGGGCCTCGGGCGGGCCGCGCCGTCGCAGGTGCCGGCGGTGCGAGGCCGGGACGCGCCCCCAGACCGGCGGGACCGCGACCGCGCGCCGCCCCCGCCCGCGCGCGCATGGGGGTGGGCCCCGGCCCGGGGCGGGCGCCGCGCTT